CTCACCCAGACTGCGCCCCCGCAAGCCCCGGCTGCTGCTGCCAATGGCTTGTGGCTGAAATAGCAACAGCTCCGGGGACATGTTGCTCTGAACCCAGCAACCGGAGGGTGGAGGGAGGGCAGGAGGGGGAGGCGAGCTGCAGCCAAACGTCCCAGCGCCGAGCTGGACTCTCAGCAATGGGCTAAACTTCAGGGGGGCTTTGCCTCCTCAGTCAGAACCTGGAGCTCAGGGACCCCAAAGCCTCCAGGCGAGGCCGTAGGGACAGCCGGGCCTAGGCGTGTGGGAGGGAGAGGCCCCCCTCTCTGCCTCCCTGGGTGGGTATCCAGCTGCTTCCAGCCCAGGCTGGGGAGGGGGGAGGCACGTTTCCGGAGCACCCTACGTGGCAGGTCTCTGGTGAAAAAGTGCCTCATGTGGCATCTGAAGCAGGAAGGAGGCCACCAGATCTGCCCTGAGGTGAGCCAGGGATCGGCTGGAAGGCCCATAGGAGGGACTCAGCTGTGTTCTCTCCCCACCATCCCCCACAGGCCCAGCAGCTGGCCCGGGGATGGGGGAGGAGGGGAACTGCAGCCTGGGCAGCACCTCTCAGCCCCCGGATCCCAGCTCTGCCCTTACCTAGCTTCTTGGCCACCGCTGCGTCCTTCTCCGAATCCACCAGGCCAAACCCCACACCCTTCTCCTCCAGGACTTGTGCTGCTAACTGGGAAGAGGAGCACAGACAGAGACACAGAGAGAGAGAGACTTTCAGAGAGGGGTAAGGTCAGGGGTGGGGCAGCCAAACTGGGCCGGACTCTAGGCATGGGGATCTGGGCTGGACTTTCTCACCCACACCCAGGCAGAGTAGGAGCAGGGGTCAGATTTGGGGGGCTGGTGATGAAGGCATAAGAGGCAGTTGTTGCCTTTGCAGGAAGAGCCTGGAGGGGAGTGTAGGAGCCCCCAGCTTCCCATGAGGTGCCCGCAGCTGAGCCCTTTGACACCAGAGATCACCCAGTGGATATTTCTATGCCCACTCCATGTCAGGGCTTGAGGGGGCCAGTCCAGTCCCTGGAGTCTGGCTGGAAGGGCAACAGTGCAGGGGGGGAGGGGGATTTCTGAAGCTGCAAACTGAGTCTGGCTGTGGGGTCATTACCCTGTTGTGGGTAAAACAGGGGTAAGTGACATGAGCCACCCTCGCCTCAGCCAGCACCAGCAACCAAACCCAGAACCAGGACTGACCACCTGAACCCAGAACCCAACATCAGACCAGAGCTACTGCCAGCCCAATGCCAGACGAGAACCCACAACCCAACGCCAAACCAGAGCCACTGCCAACCCAATGCCAGACGAGAACCAACAACCAACGCCAACCCAGAGCCACTGCCAACCCAATTGCAGATGAGAACCAACAACCCAACGCCAACCCAGAGCCACCGCCAACCCAATGCCAAACCAGAGCCACTGCCAACCCAATGCTAGATGAGAACCAAGAACCCAACATCAGACCAGAGCCACTGCCAACCCAATGCCAGATGAGAACCCACAGCCCAACGCCAACCCAGAGCCACTGCCAACTCAATGCTAGACGAGAACCAACAACCGAACATCAGACCAGAGCCACTGCTAACCCAATGCCACATCAGAGCCAACCCAATGCCAGATGAGAACCCACAGCCCAACGCCAACCCAGAGCCACTGCCAACCCAACGTCATACCAGAGCCAACAACCCAACGCCAAACCAGAGCCACTGCTAACCCAACGCCAGACGAGAACCAACAACTCAACGCCAACCCAGAGCCACTGCCAACCCAATACCAGACCAGAGCCACTGCCAGCCCGACACCGGACCAGAACCACTGCCAACCCAACGCCAGGGCTACCACTAACCACAAGCCCAAACTCAGTACCACCAGAAATTCCAGAACCACCATCTCAAACTCAGATTCCAACCCCCCAAAACATCACCTAGAACTAGAGCCCATAGAACCTTCACCTAGATCTTGCACTGAGAACCATCATCCCAGACCCAAAGCCCTGACCTCCAGCCTAGAACCCTTCCTACACCCTTCATGGGTCTCTCTGTGCACTGGCTCTTGCACCAAGCAGTAGCATCACACTGTTTCCCTGCCTGCCTGTAGCCAGGTGTCTTCTTTTGTCTTGCTCTTACGACTGTAAGCCCTTGGGCACAGGGGCCATCATTTGGCCTGTACATGTCCTAGCAGCTTGGGCTTCTCACCCATGACAAGGGCCCCAACGCCTGACCACAATACTATTAATAATTCTAAGCAGGGGCTGAATGTGCTCTCCCCCCATAGCTAGGGATGAGCTGTGCGGTGTCACTGCAGGAACTGATCTTGTTTGCTTAGACACACCCACTCTGCCGAGGTGCACAGCACCACAGTGCTGCTTGGCTCAAGATCCCTTTTGGCTGGTATGCCTCCTTTTTTGGGGCATAAGGATCTTGCGGAAAAAGGGGGTTTTGTGCAAAAAGAAACGGTCCACACTGCTTGTTTTTGTGCAAAAACCCCTAGCCCAGAAACGGCTTGGCAGAAAATATGCAAATGAGATCACGTCTCATGCAAATGAGTCCCTCGTTAGAATGTTTTTTGCCGAGAAAACTCGTAGTGTAAATGTAGCCTCAGCGACTTACAAAATATATATACATAGTATCATAAGCTTTCGTGGACAACACCCACTTCTTCAGAAGGGGAGCAAAAAACAAAACAAAACTTTGAGACAGATCACAGTGCGCTCTAGTGGCGACCGAATGGCTAAGTCACCACTGAACATTTCACCAGTTTTAAACCCTGCATCCTTCCTGCTAGTGGTTCAATTTTACTGTCAGAATTGACCAGGGATGTTGAAAAGTAGGTAATTGTGTAATCATGTCACGACTGAAAATCTCAGCGGTGACACGGTTACACGTACCTGCAGCGCGAGGTGGCAGCCAGCTCTTTGGGAGACAGTGTGTGCTGGAAGCCTGCTTTTAGCTGGCTCCTGGTGCATCCTGGCTCCCACCTGCCACCCTGCTCCGGGGAGTTGATACTGAGGCAGTAGCTTGGGGGCAACAGCCAGATTCTCGGCAGCCAGCGTGCACCAGGAGCTGGATTTTAATCTGGCTCTCGGCATGTACCAGCTCCCGCCTCCAGTCCCACTCCCCAGGAGCTGGCTGCTGCCCCCATGTTGCTCATTCTGATACAGAGCCAGCAGCATGGGGTGCCAGCTGGCTCCCCAGGAGTCTGCATATAACCATTAAGGGTAGCTGATAAGACCAGGCTTCTTGGTTAACTGTTTAAGTGGTTATACTTTTACATCCCTAGAATCGACACCACAAAGTGGGCCACGCACAGTGTTTGGAAAAAGCAATGACATGCAAATGTTCAGCAACTTCCACTATGCTCGCTGGCGTGCTCCTGGGTGAGGGTGTATCTGTGGGATGCAGAAATCTGTTATCCTACACAAATGTTGCTTTTATGTCAAAACAAACCTGATGGGCTCTAAAAATACATGCTGAAATGCAGCCACTCTGGGGAGGAACACAGCTGCTATTTAAGGGTAGCATACAACAATCTTACCCAGGTACTGGAGATGGGAAGGGAAGAAAAATACCTATCCAATCGAAACTGAAGGGTAATTTTCCAGAGGTGTTTATCCCTAAATAATTTGGCCAGGACACTAGGGCTAACACCCTGACTCCAGGAATCAGTGCCATGGGATATGTTCTGGCTGAGCACTGTGGTTTTGTCCCTGCCTGCAGGACTAGCATAGCATGGGCACATTGGGTTGGTACTGAGACCAAGCGCACTCTGCTGAGTTGCCAACCCTTCTCACGGCAGTACAATGCTCTTAGCACTGTGCTAGGGAAACAGGGCTGGGACGGATCCAGAGGGGAGAGCGCCCCCTAGCACTGTGCTAGGGAAATGGGGCTGGGATGGACCCAGAAGGGTCGCCAGGGCTAGGGATTAGAGCAGAGGATTTTGAGCTTTCCCTCAGTAAAACTGTCACAGCCAACACACCCACCATCCAGAAACCCAAGGCATGCTCACACATCCCCCAAACATACTCACTGACACACAACAAACACACAGACATACAAACACACATAGGCACACAACACACCTCCCCCCCACACACAACATGCACAGACACACACAACACGTTCTTACAAACAATACTCTCACCACTACACACACACATTCACACTCACCCCCCCACACACAACACATACCCAGACACACAACACACGTTCACCCACACAACACTCACGAAACACTAGAGGCCACTGACACGTAGACACAGGACACATCACAAACAAACATGGATACAAACTTTTCAGTCAAAACTGGGGCCATTCTTGTGCGGAAAACCAACCCGCTGAGATTTGGAAATAAAGTCGGTGGTGTCCGCCCAACCCTGCTCCCTCCACATCCTGTGAGTAAATTTCCCCACTGACTAGGGATGTAAGAGGTTAACCAATTACCTAGTAAGCAGGCAGCTTATCGGCCTGCTTACAAGGTAACTGGTTAACCAGTTAACCCAGCCGGAGCAGCCCCTGCTACCCACAGCCAGAGCCAAAGCAGCCGCACCCCCATCCGCAGGGGGCTGGGGCCGGAGCAGCCTTCTCTCCCGCCGCTGCGGCCCATCGCACCATGCGCAGGGGGCTGCTCCAGGGTTAACTGGCTAACCCTAGCATTTAAGCAATTACCATGTTAAACGCTAACGAGCATCCCTACCACTGCCATCAATGGAAGCGGAGCTGGGAGAATGCTCAATGTTTCTGGAAAATCCACCCTGCCCATCTCCTGCGTCCCAATCCAAGCGGCCATGCAGCCCTTCCCAAACATTCATAGCGCCTGTGAAGGCCAGCAATGGCCTGCAGAGTGGGGGCAAGGCTGCATTCTGCTGCTGCCGGAGGACAGCGACCCAGCGGCAGAAGACAAGAACGCATGGCTGGGGCGAGGTCAGGGGGAAAGGTTTGATAACTAACCTCTGAGCCATACCTTCTGCCTCAGCCCTGCTCTGATTGGACGGCAGAGCTGGTCCCTAGCACAGGCCGGAAGCACTGACGGTCCCATGAGAGAACCTGCACTCACCAGCGGTTTGCATCCAGAGGGGTTGGAGAGCGCATGAGCAGCACCAGGCCCTCATCTCTGCTGGAGCTTCCAATATTTCTCTGGTCCCACTCCTAGCTAGGATCATTCAGAGAGAGCCAGGAGAGCTGAGCGCCAGAGAGGAAGGCATGTAGCCAAAGTTTTTCGAGTGAGAGCTGAGCCGGGCAGAAGTGGCTATGGAACGCCCGGTTCCAGCTCCCATAAGAACATAAGAACATCCAGACTGGGTCAGACCAAAGGTCCATCTAGCTCAGTATCCTGTCTGCCGACAGTGGCCAATACCAGATGCCCCAGAAGGAGGGGACACAACAGGGAATCCTCACAATTTCCAGACAAACAGGCACTAGGGTCACCATTCCTACCTATCCTGGCTAATAGCCATTGATGGACCTAACCTCCATGAATCTATCTAGCTCTTTTTTGAACCCTGTTAAAGTTCTATCCTTCACCACATCCTATGGCAAGGAGTTCCACAGGTTGACTGTGTGCTGGATGAAGAAACATTTCCTTTTGTTTATTTTAAACCCAGTGCCTATTAATTTCATTTGGTGACCTCCCATCACTGATGTTTTTGGGCTTGCCATCCAGCGGCCTCTGGAGAGCTGCAGCCTCCTTGGGGAGGCCTAGGGCAAAGTGACCCCTCTGTAGCAGGCCCCAGGCACTAACCCACCTCCGTCTCCCAGTCGTGGCTGAAAGCTGTTGTTGAGAGAAAGCGTCTCATTCGACGCTGAACCCACCAGGCCCTTGCTATGCCTATGGCTAGAGCTGATGCCGCCGTAGAATCCCGCCACCTGACATGACACTTCCGTAAGGTGCCTCCAAAATAGCAGTACAGGCAACCGCCTCTCACCTGTACAGCCCACCCTCCCAGAGCAAACAGCCACTGAGCTAATTAACCTCCGCCCGCAAGGCTTCCCCAGAAACCCCTCGGCTCCCAGCACATGCTGCAAACCTACTCCCTGCTCACCAACTGTGCTCTGCCACATTAGCACCACAGGCCCGGGCAGCGAAAGTGCAGGATATAATTAGACCTGTGCTAAGTTCAGAGCTATAAATACATGGCGTCGATGCAGAAAAGCGTGCGGGTGGAAGGGAAGTGATTGGCAGCTATGGGGCGCCAACGCAGTGTCTCCCCACACGTCAAGGATGGCATGGGCCGCTTTGCCCCCATGGCTTGGCCACAGGGCTCTGCCCAAGACTGGGAGGAGACCAATACACAGGGCCATTTGGGGAGCACTTCGAGCCCCCTGCAAATGTCAGAGCTCCACTCACTTGTTAGCGTGAGAGACAGTCTCTGCCCCACTGAGCTCACACGGAGGGGGTGTTACCTGTCCAGCCATGCACAAGAGTAGCACCCAGCCTTGCACCCTGCTCACTAGCACCCCCCCCCCCCCCCACACACACCTCTCTGCAAAGTGTTGGGAAGGTTACTGTGGTGTGGGCACTGGGAAATGGACTGAGACCCATCAAGCCCCATTTCACAGCAGCCGAAAGGCCAGCAAGAAGCTCTGTTTAGTCCCTACTACCCTGGGCTCTGTGAAAGGCTCTGGCCCCACAAGGAGTCCCTCAAGCCGTCCCTGCCTCCTGCGGAGCAGAGGTGGGGCCCAAGCTGCAGCCACACACTCAGGATCTGACCCGGGCTAGCGGATGATAAATGTGGCTCAGACTCAGCCCACATGGCACTGAGACAGTTCAAGTGGCTGGGACCGCCCTGCTGTGTTGTCGACAGCCCCTTCCCCCTGGCTGCTTTAGCTCAACAGGGATCTAGTAGCGATGTGGGCAGCCGAGAACCGTGTGTGTCTGTATGTGCGCGCGTGCGTGTGTGTCAGCCAAGACCCGTGTGTGTCCATGTGTGTCCAGCAGCCTCAGTGTGTTGGCGCCGGCACACAAGGCAGCTGAACAAGCTCCCATCCGCACGGCAAGCAGAGAAGTGATCCTAGAGGGGGCCAGAACAGCCCTTTCTCTCCTCCCTCCCCTGTCTCTGGAGCAGCCGATCACCCATCACTGGCCCTTCTGGGCCCCAGCTGAAGGTAGTTTCCTATGGTTGGAGGTGCAGCTGGATGCAGAAACCTCAAGCTGCCCTCCCCACCCAGACGCTCCCCAGAGAGGGCCCCAGGAGGGTGCTAGAAGAATTTTTATTTGGGGGGTTGGTGCTGAGAGCCAGTGAACCAAACCTAAACCCTGTGCTTGATGGAAATGACATTATAGCACCCAGAGTTCCTGCACCTATGGGCCCTGAGCTACAAAGTCCACCTGGTACATGTTGACAGCTGCACCATGACTCTCCCCCTCTCTCTCCTTCTGCACACACCCCCTCCATCCGTCCGTCTGTCCGTCCGAAGTGCTGGCCCCCTCCCGTGTCTCACCATTGCAGGTCGCTGGACAGTTGCACCGCAGATGCTCAGCATTCGAAGGGAAGCTGGCAGCCAAAGTCCGTACACTGCCTAAGTCCTGGGGTTGTCTCTGGGTACAGTGTTGTGGTCCACTGGTCCAAAGTCTCCCCAGAGCACCCTAGCGCAGTTTGCATCCACTACACCTTGCTCTGGGAGAAGAATCCATCCAGGCCGGGCTCTATGGGACAGACTATTGGGGCTCACAGGAGCCCTGAGTTTCCCCACCACCCGCTGTTCTCTCCCACTCGCTAGCACATTGCACTGGCCACGTCTGCAGAGAACAGTGGCCCCTCTGGCCTGGCAGCCTCACTCCTGCCATACTGACATGTGTCCGTGGTCTACTCAGTAAAGAATCCTTGTCTCCTGGCCCATTGGAAGAGGCCAGTGGTCCATGTGGTCCAGGGGTCCATGCGGTCTGATATCCTGCCACAGGCCATACACCCTCCCAGCCTGGCAATCCATCGGAGCCCGGGCCCATGTAAACCCACCTACAACAGGGCAGATGCAGGATGCATGAGAGCAAAGCACCAAAAATTGCACCTCCCTGGGCATCCTCTCGCGAACCAGCTCTTGACACTATTCCAGGAGGCGCGGCAGCCAGGATGGTTGGAGGCAGGTGCCTGTGCAGCACCTCGTCTCTGAACACATCCCAAGTATGGAAGCTGCAAATGTAGAGCCTTCTTCTGGGAATGGTTCGTAGCCCCAGCGAGGCACCCCCAGCTGAGACCCAGCAGCGCCAGCAAGTGAAACCCAACCCTGCCTAGGAGAACACCCCCTCTTGGTTCGGTACATCATGTTCAGAGATCACTGTCGGTCCACACGCACTTACAAACAGGCTGTGCCTTCATGTCTCCATTCCCCCCAGTCTTCTCCACTGGGCTCCCAATGCCCCTATACAAATACTACAGTAAAGGTCTCCAAAACACTGTACTATCCATTGAAGCAACATTACAAACCCTGTAAGAATGCTATAACGACGCCATAGCAACACTTCCCTAACATCGCTATAAAAGTAGTCACACTGTTGTGACACTCCAGTGACACTGTACTAATGCTGCCATCATATTGTAATAAACTGCTAGGAACACTGTAATGACATTGTAGGAATACTGTAACAACACGGGAGCAGCATTCCAGTGAGCTGTAGTCATTTTATAGTGGCACTGTAGTAACAACCACGATCCTGTAACCACGACAGTAGTATTGTGGCAGTCACATGGCAGTCACGCTGTAGCATTGCTGGCCTTGCTTTCGAATGGTTTATAAGAGTGACACATCTCTTGAGAGCACCAAATAGACACGTCTACTCTCCCCAGATGTCCAGTTCAGAATCCAGGGTCTTGCTCCCTTTCATGTTTTTTTCCAAACCGCTTGTCCTGCCAGCACCAATCAAGTTAAAAGGGAAATGTCATGGGGTAAAGCGCAAGACTTGTGAGCACAACGCCCCCCCGGAGATCACAGGGCTTGAGCTGGAAGAAAAGGCAGGCACAAATACAGGCATACGGTCTGCACACTGAAGAGCTGCCAGTCTGAGCTGGGTTCCTGGGACAGCTACACATGTGTGTGTGTGTGTTTGTGTGTGTGTGTGTGTGTGACAGCTACACATGTGTGTGTGAGACAGCTACACGTGCCTGTGACAGCTACACATGTGTGCGTGTGTGACAGACAGACAGAGACAGAGACGGTAGAACTAAGATGCAGCATCTGCTGGCTTGAAGTACTGCCCATCACACCGGGTTTACAGTTTGGTTCAGTGGCTCTCAACGCCCCGTGCCAGCCTCCTGGAGAGAGGTGACCCGTTATCATCTTCCCAGAGGCAGTGCTGGGTTGGGAAAGCTCACATCAGGACAGGTATTTCAAAGGGCTTTAGACACAGTTGCTGACAAAGTCCCCTTGTGGGTAGCTTTGTTAACTGGCCGCTGTCACTTTCCTTGTCCCGTGGGACACCGTGGGGGCATGTGTGTAACATACATGCGGCAAGCAGGTGCATGCACCTGTGAGTGCGTGCATGTACACCCCACCCCTTGCCCACCCTCTTTTGAACCTAAGGCCAGCTGGCCATTAACAGTCCCCTGGCTCTTGCTCCCAAGTGCAGACAGGACCGGAGAGTCCTGGGCCACATTCCAGCCCGGGGAAAAATGACTTTCATTGGCCTCCCCTCATTCCATCCCCTGCAGCAGCAGCTTCCCGCCCTGCCCTCCTTCCAGTTGCCACCTGCCACCCCAGAGGCAGCTGCATTAGAGGCAGGCGGGCGATCCGCACAGAGAAAAAACCCTTCAGGTCCTATAGAGGCAGCCAGAGAAGGAATGGCTCATACATGTATGGACCAGAGCAGGGTTTTCACATTGGGGGTCGTGACCCAGAATTGCTGCAGGAGGATCAGGTGAGCAGCAGGGGTACTAAGGAAGCTACCGGCCTGTCCCCAGGCCCAGCTCCTAGGTGTGTGTGGGAGAGGGAGGGCTCGCACTGCCCCTGCCCCTGCCCCGAGTGCTAACTCCACACTCCCATTGGCTGGGAATCTGCTGCCGGCTTCTTCTGGGGGAGGCATGATCTGTGGTACCAGGAGAGGCAGGAAGCTGCCTTAGCCCCCCCGCTGCACCGCTGACTGGGAGCCGCTCAAAGTAAGCCCCTCCTGCCCCAGCCCTGCCCCTCCCCCAAAGCTGGCTCCCCTCCTACACTCCAACGCTCCCATCCTCAGCCCGCGCTCTAGTGAGATTCTGTGGAGTCGCGGCATCAACAATTTTCTTCTGGGTTGTGAGAAAAAAATAGTTTGAAAAACCGCTGGGCTAGACTTTGATCCAGTTCTGGATCCAAGCTGCTGGGTCTGTTTCCAAGGGCTGGAGCACTGGGACGCATCAGCCTTTCATTCATTCATTCTTCCTGCCTTCCATTCTTCCGCCTCATCCCTCCTCTCTCCCTGCCCCTCCGCTCCCCGGCCGTTACCTCTAAAATCAGCTCCTCCAGCTCAAACTGCTTCTGCGAGGCCTTGTCGTCCCCCACGGGCTCGTGGTAGAGCAGCGCCAGCACGCTGAACTTCTTCAGCACCGACTTGTAGTTCTTCATGTTGACGTCGACGACGCGGTCGATGCCGTCGTATTCGGGGAAATCCAGCCCTTCCTCACCCCGGGTCCCAGGGCTCGCCGCAGCCAGCAGCAGCACCAGCACCAGCCCGGACCACTTCATCCTGAAGCGGGGCAGGTCCGGCAGGGAACGCAAGACACTCTGGGTCGCAGCTCCCAGAGGGGGAACGGTCGTCTTTCCTGCCCCCTCCCCCTGCGCGGGGAAACAAAAGTCAGCCCCAAACTCCCCTCCTCACTCCTTCTTTCCCCCCGTCCTGTCCCCTTGCTCCTCCGGCCTGCTCTTGGGTTCTCTTTATGGTGGGGGGTGGGCGGAAACCCAGGGTGAGAGGCTGCCTTGGCTGTCGTCTGGCACGGGCTGGTGGTGTCCGAGGGGGTAGCGCGGAGGCGGTGACAGCTGCGCCGAGGGGCACGGAGTCTCAAAAGCAAAGAAGAAAAGAGACAGGCAGGGCATAAAAAAGGCTTGTGGGGGGGAGGGCACGGGGGCGGAGGCCTGTCGTACCCTGAGCTGTCTGACCCACCAGCCGCAGCCCACCCCTTCACTCCCTGACTATATATGTATATGGCAGACGTATAGCCTTATATACAGGCCATGCCTTCATACCTCCATCCCACCAGCTGGATACACCAGCCCCCCCCACTGGCCCCCAACCGAGACCCACTTAAATGCAGCAAAAAAAGGGGTGTGTGTGGATAGAGTTTCTCCTTTTGATCCTTCTTCTCTTTCTCTCCTTCTCTTTTCCCAACCCCCTTTCCTCCTCCAGTCAAACTTGATGGCATCTTGATCACCATATTAAGAAAGGAAAAAGGAGACCAGCTCAGGAGGGTGTGGGGGGGTGAGGGGGGGAGGGAAGAAGAGGAGGCTAAAAATAAGATGAGATGAGTCGGAGGTAAATGAAGATGGGCTGGTGCGGATGGCGGGTAATTAGAGAGAGCAGGAGGGGGGCAAGAAGGGGGAAATGGGGGTCATTTGTGGTGGAGGGGGGGGGGGGGGGGGGGGGGGGGGGGGGGGGTTGTGGGAGTGGTTCGGTCTCTGATCATCTCCGATCATTGTCTCCAGCACTCGCCTAGGTCCTTCATCCTCGCCACGTGCTACACCAGCGGGGGTAACGGAGACACGGAGCCTTCGCTGCCAGGTTTCCAGGCCATGGGCTCCGGACAACCCCGGGAAGAGATTCTGTCTATTCAACAAGAGCGCGAGCACTTTCAAATAATCCCGCCAGCCTGTGGATTGATTGCCCGGCAGCAGCCATGTGGGACAAGCTGAGGGAGCGTTCAGAGCCCTCCCGATGGACAGCCCAAGTGGAGCCTGCAAAACGAGTGCAGGGTTTGGATCTGAACATCGCTCTGCGCTCATTCACCACCAGTAAAAGGGGGGAAATTAGACCCCCCCCTTCCCAGGGGCGTGTCAGGACTCTCAGACCGATGTGGCGGGAGGAAACAACGATGAACTGCCATAGCAAAAACACCAGTGGAAATAAATGCGTCTGTATTCAGAGCAGGGTTGGGACGGCGTGCGGTAAATAATATCTCACGCCGCACGGCCTGGAGAAGATAAAAACAACGATGGGACAGCTTGCCTTCTGTGATCCCCATCCCTGCAGCACCCTGAACCAGGCAGGGATGCTGGGGCAAAACTAGCAGGCGATTTGGTAATTAATGACGGCGGCGTCCTGCACACGCACAAGGGGGCTGAATTAAGGTCGCCTGAGCAACCTTCATGAATTTTCTAACCTCAGAGGGTGTGACTCGGCCTCCTGGGTGTTCTCTTAGCACAGGGAAACTGAACAGCCGCTGCAGCCAGGTCTCGGTCCCTTACCCCAGCACCTCTCACTGAGCTGTAGGAATCACTGGGGGATTTGAGGGTGCTGGGGGTTCTGCACCCGCTGCCTAGGGGGTTCCGGCCCTGTTGCCCCTGCTCCCACCCGCTGGGGGTGTTCCAAATTGGATTAGAACATTGGAGCCTGCCCCTGAGTCTGCAGTGGGGCCGAGACCCCCGTGTGCAAAGAGCCCATAGCTTGGGGAGTGTGGCCCAGGCAGAGTTAGAGCAGCGGGAGGCAGAGGAGTGGAAGGGTTGGTGAGGGGGGTGTTTGTGGTCGAATCCTGCTCCCACTAAAGTCAAGGACACCCTGCCCAGAGCTCCGTGGGAGATGGGGGTTAAGAAACCGAAAGGGCTTGGTGCTTTGCAGGTGTATGTGCAGAAATGGTCCCACAGTTGAGGGGAACTTTCCGTCGATGGAGCCATGTAGTCTAGACACACCCCATGAGCCCGGTGAAATGGGATAGCGAAAGGAACCGACTCCCTGTTCCCACTTCCTTTACTCACAGGGCTCCCTGCCCTCGAGGGCTCTCCTCCCACTCCCCTGTATGGCAGAGGCCTGGTAACCACAACAAGGCTGGGCCCCAGGATTCCTGGGTGGGGGGGTGTTCAACCCCCCCCACCTTTTTGTGGTCACCTAGGACAGGGGCTGGGGGTCCCCACTTCAGGATGCTCCCCAGGCCCACTGATCATTCCACACAGTTCAGAGCAAATGCAATTCATGAAACAGCCAGCACTTTTAAACAGGAAAAACTGGGAAGGGTGAAAAGAAAACACGTCACCCAGCTCTGCGGCAGGGGGCATCACTCGGTGTCTCAGGGTAGGGACGTTACATTTAGATTAATGGGCTAATTGAAAAGTCAATGCAATTTGCATCGACTATTCAATTAGTCGATAAGGACGCCTCCGCCTTTGAAGTGTAGCAATGGCTGCAGGCCATGGGGCCAGAGGGGGACCCAAGCAGTCCCCCTCTGGCCCTGTGCTCCCTGCAGAGTTTCAAAGTGGCAGCGTCGCATGGAGCCCGGGGTCAGCTGAGGACTTTGAGCAGGATCAGTGGGAGAGTCCCCAGCTGATTCCAGACTCCATGTAGTGCTTTGAAATGCTGCCGGCCAGCTGGCCCCGGGCTGCACACGGTGTTTCAAAGAGGCAGCGCCGCATGGAGCCCAGGGTCTGGCCCCGGGCTCCATGCAGAGCTGCCAATTTGAAGCACATCCTGAACTTCTCCCCCCTTGCTGCCTCTTTCTGATAGCGGCAGCAAGAGAGAGGGGAAGCGACTAGTCAACTAGCCTGTTGACTATCCCATAACCATTTGCTTATTGGAAAGTCGACTAGTTGTTCACATCTCTCTCAGGGAAGTCCAGGCAGTTCACAGTCTGTTCCTGGTAGGTCCCAGGCCCCCTTTTCAGGCCCTGGCTATGCTCTGGTGGTAGCCACGAGGGATGTTAGCATATACCCGTTTACATGATTAACCGATAAGCTTGGGCTCATCGGTTAAACCTAATGGAGCCGGTGCCCATGGGGAGTTGGCTATTAAGCTTGCTTCCCACATGTGCTGGCTCCCACAGAGCCGCCTCCCCCTCCTGCTCCCTGCTGCCTCCTACAGAGGCTTTCTAACTATGTCTACGCTACCAGGTTATTTCGAAATAAGAACTCCTGAAATAACTATTTCGAAATAAGCTTATTCCTCTTCGCAAGCAGGAGTTATGATGTCACAATAACGAGCGTGGCAGTGTGGACGCCTGCCTTGTTATTTCAAAATAAGGGGAATTATTTTGAATAACTCCCCAGTGTAGACATGCCCCCACAGGCCGACTTCCCACGAGCACCAGCTCCTGAGGAGCTGCCTATCCCCCACCCCCACGTTGCTGCCTCTAATATACCTAGGCAGCAGCAGGGGATAGGGGGGGCAGGAGCTGGTACATGTGGGAAGCCAGCATTCGAGCAGGCTCCCTGAGCATCCCAGCTCCCACAGAGCTGCCTCCCCCCACACGCAAACATGCAATGGCTAAAAAAAAATCAGCGTTTACATGTTACACAAATACGTGCTTGTTAACATCCCTAGTGGCCACATGCTCTAGGCCAGGATCAGGCACAATACGGCTCCCCCCCCGC